ATTGATAGTAAAATTCTAACTTTACTATGTAGCAACTGTTAACAATTTTTATTTTAGTAATTTATTTTTTATATTTGATAACTTATTATATTGCTATCTGACCAATAAAATTACTTTATGCATAAATGACCCAAATGACCTAATGACCAAATGACTAGGGTCATTTAACCAAATGACTGGGTCATTTAAATTTTGAGCAAATGACCAGGTCATTTACCATCCCTGACTTAGGACATTTGGCAAGGTGTTCTTGTGTTTCAGCTTCTTGACGGCATATTTTGCATTTATTGTCTAAATATATATTTACTTTTCTCTGGTATAGGACTTGCATCATTGGCAGAAGATCACCCAAGCACTTGATCTTAAAGACCCAATCTTTATGTCTTTCTGCACTTCTATACATATTACCTTTATCCCTGCCTATATCTTTCCATACCTCTTTCCATTCAATTGCCTTGTCGCTGCCCTCTATTGTTACCCATCTGTTTATACTTTTCAGGCTTTTCTATTCCATATCGATATTAAATTCGGTTAGTCTAGTAATAAAGCCTCTTGTTGCGTCATCTACTCTTGTTTCTTGCTATCTGAGTTCGGTTATGGCTTGCTTATTTCAGGGCCATTTGGGATTTAGAACCACCTGGCTGCATGTTCCTTCTTTTGCCAACTTATCTGCCTTCTTATTGTCTTGTATACTGCTATGTGCTTTGACCTTGTTGAGCCGAACCTTTAGTTCTTTCAGATTTATTGTTCTTCAGATTTGTTTTAGAAGGCATAGATTCTTCTTTCTGACTATCTCACTTTGCTTAATTTTGTCCTTGTTTGCCTATATTGCTTGTATTGCAGCTGCACTATCTGTGTAAATACTGATCAAGGTCTTACAGGGGGCAACTAGCAGGGCTGACCAAATAGCTCCTAGTTCAGCTCTTGTCGAGGATGGCCAGTCTCTTATTATACCTTGAAACTCTGCTACAAAGTGATTATGCTTTTTGTTCTTGTTTTCAACTACAGCTACCCAGCCAATTCCTATTATTCTTCTATCTGGGTTTTCATCTAGATTTGTTAGTGAACTGTCAGTGTAAAAAGCCAGTTTTTTGTGCCCTTCTAGCTATGTTGCGATACTCTTTAGCTTCTCTGCTGTTTGGGAACTTTTAATTGCTTGTTCGATTATTTTCATCACCAAAGAGTATATAGCGACTTTAATTACTTCAGCTTTATGTACAGAGGGCATTGGAGTTGCATCTGTTAAACTACTTGGAGTACATTTGCCAAGCAGCTTAGGGGAACACTTAGGTTCCATGTATGAGGTTCTGTAGGGTCTTTCTGTAACAGTCTCTGGTTGATTGCTATTACCTTGTTTTCACTGACTTGCTTTTTTGATACGATTTGTGGGTTTTGTTTTTTCTACTGTTCTGTTTACAACCCTTGCACTTGTTCAGTTTAATTATGTCACTTTCCTGATCATTTGTTAATACCCAGTGCTCTATCGTATAGGTTCTTTTGCCTCTTTTCTCCATTATCTTACCAACCTCTATTCGGTCTTTGATCTTTATCAAGATCCACTCCTTCCTTCTTCTATCTATGCTTATAGTAACTAGTGCTATTTTTGGGCTTAGATTATTTGTAGATTGTGTTCAAAAGGTGGCTTTAGCTCTTTGACTAGTTTTATCTATCAGAACTGCATCTTCTATTCTTGCAAACCACAATGGTACTTTGCTAGCCGCTTTCAACCTTTTATATTTCTTGATCTGCTTCCATGTCAGTAGGTTAAGACCTTTATTATCAAGAAGCTGCTCTATAACATATAGCCACATTTCTTTTTTTTGAATATAGCCTTTTATTTGTCTTTCCTCGAGAAAGTCTAGTATCTCTATACCTTTTTTTGTGAGCTTGAGACTTTTTTTCATTTCTTTTGATCTAATACTTATGTTTAAACATTTTGCTTCGGTTATTATCTTGTACACCAGATTCTGTTTGAGTTTGACTTTTTTTAACCTAGTCAGGTCTAGTTCCAGAATACACTTGGTACTTTTGCAGTTGATCTGTGCTTGTTGTATTCTGATCTATGTTGCTTTGTCTGTATCGTTTTGACAGTGTATGCGTTTACGGAGTTCTGTTATATGATGGGCTATTTGATTTTGCCAAATTGTTCTTAGGCCAGCTATGTTCTTGTGTGTTAGAATTGCATTTGCTATTGTGCTATATAGGTTTGCTTTGTTTTTTATCAACTTTACTAAAGGGCTTTGTAATCTATCATATTGACCTTTTGATAATATACAATGCTGAAGTTTATATTCAAGTCTTGGTATCAATACCCTGTTGTTGATGTATATTAATTGAGCTAAGGTCATGCTTTTTTTGTGGATTACTTTTATTACTGCATTGATCTCCTTTTTTGCAGTTTCGATCGCATGATAATGATTAGATTTTTTTGAAAGCCAGATGCCTAAGAATCTTGCTGTTTCGGTTATCTTTTTTTCTATCACCTTGTCTCTTGTAGGCCCTACTTCTATATATCTAAGATCATTTTCTTTTTTTCCACTTACTATTAAAAGCTCAAACTTTTTACTATTTATTTCTATATTATTGAGCTTGTAGAATTCCTGTGCGATCTCTAGTGACTCTTCTAGTTTTTGCTTATTGGCTACAATGTAGGTGGTATCATCAGCATATGCAATTACTGAGACTCGTAAACTCCGTCATGTAGTGGTATTTTTACTAAGGCAAACAGGCTAGTTTGTCTCCAATTTATACCCTCAGACATGATTTTTTTGTAACTTTGCTAATAAGGGATCATAAAAAATCTGCCAGACCAAGGGTGATATCATTTCCTCTTGGTCTATTCCATTACCAGCTACAAATTTCTCTGTCGTACCTATGCTTGTAATGATCTTCATTTTCCGGTTTTTATATAAATTAATTATAAAATGTACTATTGTTTCTGGGATCTTAATTCTATCTAGTGCGAGTTTAAGCATCTTAAGCCCTACAGAGTCATATAAAATGTTTTTATTTTTCTCATTTTTTCATTTTTGGGTTTTTTATTTTTAAATTTCATTCATTTTCCCCTACTTCCTCCTTTTTACATCTCCTTTTTAGTCATAGTTCATTTTCATTTTTTTATAGATTTTTTGATAAGATAATTCTAGCTTGTCCGCAAGTTAGTGCAATGGGTTGCATTAAGGACCGTAAGGTAACCAAATGAAGTTGGGCTTGTAGTTCTATAAATTAAATGCATATAGTTTATATATATGTTGTTAATAAAAAGCAAAGCCACGGCAATTCCCATGAAGTTTAAAAAATATATATATATATATTATACGGATTATGAAAGTGTTTTACACTTCTATACTATACGGGCGTAATTTAGTGCGGAGTTTGCAGGATGCAAAATTTTGCTTAGAACCTTTATCAGATAATCAGTGTTGTACATTAAACAAAATTAAAACTTTAATCGATTAACTAATTAAATAGTTTTTTGGACTTTAATTAAATTTTTAGTATAAACACCTTTATAATCTAACTCAATAATTAATTGTGTATTGGATATTACAAATTTTCAATGTCCAGACACTGTCTAGAGCATTGGAACCATTGAACACGACGTCACCGATTATAATAGTAAATAAATTATTTGATATCTAACATCTTACCCCTAAAAAAAATACATAAATTCTAAAATTAGTTTTCGGATATTCTGAACTTCTAAAATAAATTAATTTAATCATACCGATACGGCATAATCGGTTAAATGTCGTGTGTTTAGCCATAATGATTTTTGGACGTGATTTATACAAAGTGACATATTTTCGGAGTAGTCCTAAAAGTCTAACAAATTGGTAAATATAAATATGCGCTGTTTCTAAAATATAATCATATATAATAATTCTAATTGTATGGTTAAAATTCTATTATATGTAAAGAATTTGGGTATTAGTGATTTTTTTAAACGAATTACTTTCGTCGTAGAATTATATATTTTACAAACGCAATTTTATCAGTTAATTATCCACGTATAGATGGAATGAAGTTATCTTAATAATCGGGATTTGTTGAAATTAATGTCGAAATTGGCGAAATTAATTTTCACAATAATTAAAATCAAAAAAATTTATATATTTTAGATTAAAATAAATATATAAACTGTTATATAGTTGTCTAAACTGTATAAAAAATATTTAAAGTGTTGAAACTACGTTAAAATTACGTTGAAATGATAAATTTTGAAATGAATTTCACCCCATATATAATCACATGCTACGTTCATATAGCCAATTATAAGGAATTATTCAATCACGAGAAGTTAGCAAAGTAAATATATATACAGAAATATATGAGAATTAACATGAGAGTGTGTATACGTACCAGTATAGTAACAGGATTGTTTGTTAAATATATATAAGTACTAATTAGATGATGGAATTATAACCCTAATAAAGTAGGGGATTAAGGATAGATTAACGTTAAGGATATTTGGAAATCCCTTACTGTAAATCCTTGTGACTCTTCTAAATACAGAAATATTTACACAAATATCAAAAATATATACAGTATAGCCATTATAAGATAAATTTGTAAAGGAGGATTGTAAAAAAATTTTCTACGTAGACATCAAACATTAGCCCCATAGTCAATATCAAGATTACCGTTAATGCTAATCACAAACAAGTTCCAAGAAAAACACTAAAAATAGTAAAATAATTAAGACGTAACATAAATTATGTAATCTACAGTTTGCAATATTTTGTGCTTTGATCAGGTGTAATGTGAACCAGTAAACTATATTAAAACTGGATTGTGCATGTGTCTATATCAAAAAAACTAGTAGCGTTTTAATTGCATTTCCCTTGTTCCTACCTTAATTACATATATTCAATTTTCTCTCTTTCTTTTATTCCCTCCTTTTGTCTGATGGCATTGCGACTAAGACGCTTTTAACCTTTTTAACCACAACATACTTTTCTGGAACTGGTGCTTCTATTTATTCCTTTTAATATTTAATAATGCCTTTCTTTGAAAGAAAGCGACAAAGAAGTCAGAACCATAGCGAAGCTACCGAAATTGGACACCAGAGAAAGATATCTACCTCTACAGTGCAAAATTTATCCAAACGTCGCATATATGTTAATATACCTTTATCTACAAGTGAGGTCGACCAGTATGGTGAACCAAAAGAGTGTTATGTCACGAACAAAATCCGCACTTCCAAATATACCTTATTAACATTTATACCTAAAAATTTGTTTGAACAATTTCGTAGGGTAGCAAATATGTACTTTCTTTTTTTGGTTATTTTACAACTTTTTCCCATGATTGGTGGTGACGTTCAACCATTTCTATCTGCTATGCCCCTTATTTCAATCATTTCAATGACCGCTTTAAAAGACGTTTTAGAAGATTGGAAACGTCATACTCAAGATAAAAGTTTAAATAGATCAAAAACTACAATATTACGTAATTGGCGGAATGTAAATATACCAACCAATGATAGGTCACGTCAAAAATTTTTGATCAAGATATGGAATGGTTTCTCTAGTTTGCTAGGCTATCGAATAGGTGAAAACCTTGATAATAAAGTATCTTATACTACTCAAAGTGGTGCTATATGGACTGAAAGTCACTGGCAAGATGTTAAAGTTGGTGATATTGTAAAACTCAAAAATAATGATGCTGTTCCTGCTGATATGATAATATTATCCACTAGTGAACCGGATGGTCTTTGCTATGTTGAAACAAAAAATCTTGACGGCGAAACAAATCTAAAAGTTCGACATTGTGTTTCTTCAACAAACTCAATCGTTACTGAAAGAGACTGTGAAAATAACTGTTTTTACATAGAATCTGAACAACCTCATTCTAATTTATATGCATATACTGGTGTATTACATCATCCCAATCCTGATGGTACTGGTGATAATATAATTGAACCAATATCTATAAATGATGTTCTTTTACGTGGATGTGTCCTTCGAAACACTCAATGGGCTATAGGCTTGGTTGTATTTACTGGTACTGATACAAAAATTATGTTGAATTCCGGCGATACACCCAGTAAGAGGAGTAAAATTGAGATTGAGACAAATTTTCATGTATGTTCGTTCACCTCCGAAAATATCAATTGTTCGATATCAAACCATTAAAAAATTGCGCTCCTTATTAGTTTAATCATCAATATGTTACATCTCTTCGTTATTTTAACTTATAACCATCAATTTATTTCTCAGGTCTCTATGAATTTTGTCATCTTATTTTTACTCTGCCTTGGATCCGCCATTGCCGATGGTATTTTCTTTATTCAACCTAAGAGTTCTGCTGACGTTTTTGAATACACTAAAAGTAGTAATATGACTGCATGGGAGAGTTCTTTTCTTACCTTCTGGTAAGGAAAAATGTGCAATTCATCGTATCAATATTATCAATATCGTTCTTACATATCTCGGATTTTTTATACTTGATTCCTATAACTTTAGGGCAAGTCTGATTTTATTTCAAAATATCGTACCAATTTCTTTGTATATTACAATCGAAGTAGTTAAGACCGTTCAAGTTAGTTCAACTTATTTACTTAAATTTATGTATTTTAAAGTCTTGTGTCTAACATTTGTTGCATTATAATTTTTAAGGCGTATTTTATACACTCCGATATCGATATGTATTATCCAAAACTTGATTATCCTTGTACTCCAAAAACATGGAACATTTCTGATGATTTGGGTCAAATAGAATATATATTTTCTGATAAAACCGGTACTCTTACTCAAAATGTCATGGAATTTCGTAAATGTACCATTAATGGTGTATCTTATGGAAAAGGCGAGACAGATGCTACTCGTGGTGCTAAATTACTTGATAACGAAAATTCTTTTGATGAGATTGATCTTGAGGCAGAAAAGCAATTAATGTTGGAAGAAATGTCCAAGCTATTTGATAACCAATATATGACATCAAATCTTACTTTTATTGATTCTAAATTGTATTGTGATCTTAGAGCCGAAGATAAACAATCTAAAGCCATACAGGATTTCTTTTCTGCTCTTGCTCTTTGTCACACAGTTCTTGTTGAACATCCAGATGAGAATAATCCTTACAATATTGAATACAAAGCACAATCACCTGACGAAGCCGCGTTGGTTGGTTGCGCTCGAGATGTGGGCTTTGTATTTATTGGACGTCATCAAGACACTCTAACGATAGAGTTGCTTGGTGAACGCAAAGACTTTACATTATTGAATGTACTTGAATTCAATAGCACAAGAAAGCGAATGTCTGTTATTTTAAGGTCACCCGAAGGTAGTGTGATCCTTTTATGTAAAGGTGCGGATAGTGTAATATATGAACGATTAGAAGAAGGTCGTCAAGATCAATTAAAAGAAGATACATTGGCTGATTTAGAAACATTTGCTAATGAAGGTAATTTTTTTGAAATTTTTTTTTTTTTACGATTAATAAAGGCTTTAAATAAAATTATAATTTTTTTTATAATCTTAGGTCTTCGAACACTTTGTATAGCTTACCGTGTAATACCTGAAGAAGAATATAATGTTTGGGCTCAGAGTTACGCAGAAGCCTCTTCAAGCATTAATGATCGTGAAGAAAAGGTCGAAAAAGCTTGTGAGTTAATAGAACATTCACTGACCTTAATGGGTGGAACAGCTATTGAAGATCGCCTTCAAGAAGGTGTACCAGAATGTATAGCCACTTTATCAACTGCTGGGATTAAGATTTGGGTACTTACGGGAGACAAAACTGAAACCGCCATCAATATTGGTTTCTCATGTAATCTATTGCAGAAAGATATGCTTTTAATAATTATTAGTGCATCAGATAAACAAAGTACGCTTTATCAATTAAAGGAGGCTATGGATAAATTCTTCGGACCTAATGTTGAAGCTTGTAATAAAAGTAGCAAGCATGCTTTAGTAATTGATGGTGAAACTCTTAAATATGCTTTGGACCAATCATTAAAACATTTGCTATTGGATATTGGAAAAAGATGTAATAGTGTTATATGTTGTCGTGTTAGTCCGTTGCAAAAAGCCAAAGTTGTGGCTTTAGTAAAGGAAGGATTGAACGTGATGACTTTATCTATCGGTGATGGTATGTGAATGTTTATCAGGCCAAATTTATTTATTATTTATTGTTATTTATTTGTCTTTTGTATACTTATTAATATCTAAAGGTGCAAACGATGTGAGTATGATCCAGGAAGCAAATGTCGGTATTGGAATTGCGGGTGAAGAAGGTCGCCAAGCTGTAATGGCAGCAGATTATGCTTTTGCCCAATTTCGATTTTTAGATAAACTTTTACTTGTTCATGGTCGTTGGTCTTATATTCGAATCGCAGAAATGATATCGTGCTTTTTCTATAAAAATATCGTTTGGACAATCGCAATGTTTTGGTATCAAATTTGGGCAGGGTAGGCATTCGATGGAATCTTTTATTTTTACATTATAACGAACTTAATATAAATATAATTTTTAACGAATATCATTCATAGATTTACTGCCCAATATTTATATGATTATACATATATTTTACTCTATAACTTGGCTTTCACAGCCGTTCCCGTTATGTATCTTGGTACGTATACATGGTCAATTATCTTTCAAGTAGGAAAACAATGTAATTACTTACGATTATAAATATTGACTAAATTAATATATATATATAGGTGCTTTTGATCAAGACGTTGATGCCAAAACTTCGTTGGATAATCCGCAATTATATAAGCGAGGTATATTACAACGTGACTTTACAAAGTCAAAGTTTTTGCTTTATGTATTAGATTCATTTTATCAGTCAGCAATTTGTTTTTTTATTCCTTTTGGAGTATTTCAATTTGGATCATCCCATGCTAATGGATTGCAAAATAATGGTTTAAGTGATCTCGGAACAATGGTAGCTGGAGCTGTCGTAGTCACCGTGAATTTATATGTTGGTTTGAATACTATGAATTGGTCATGGTTATGTTTTGTAGTGATTGGCCTTAGTATTCTTTCATTTTATGCTTGGGTGGAATTTTATTCTCTTTGGTATATTGGATTCTTTAGAATGGACCTCATATTATATACCGAAATTGACTTCTGGTTAACTGTTTTGTTATGTGTCGTATTTAGTATTTTACCTCGATATGCAGTCAAATACATTCATAAAACGTATTGGCCAAGTGATATGGACATTATCCGTGAACAAGTTCATGAATCCAAAAAAGGAAAGAGGAGGCGAGAAAATGGAGAACAATTTATAGAAGATAGTGACAATGACTCTAATCGTACTATGGTAGTTGACATGCATGACAATACAAATATGCATAGAGATGTACATAATGACAACTCTTTTGCAGATATTACATTAGATGTATCTACAAAACCACGCTCTATGTCAAAATTACCAAAACTGCCAAGGATCACCTCAATTAGAAAAACTCGCAAAGACTCTATACGATCAGTGGAACAGCTTTTCCATATGGACTCAGGAAAGCGCCAATCATTCACAGGATTTGCTTTTTCTGGAGAAGAGAGTTCTTTTGAAGGATTCCGACAATCAATATATCAACCAAAACAACAACGCACTACAGGTCAACGTTCTAATACTTTTACATCATCATCGAATAACGATAAAGAGAAATCATTAATGTCAGTATTCCGTAATCGAACAATGCCTACAACGTTGTTTCGACGTTGGTCACCAAATCCTAGTCGGGCAACGTCTCCAAATCGATCGAATAATGATGAAAATAGTCCAAATGTTCGAAGAAGGGGGAATAGTAGCAATGAAGAAGTTGAGCTTGTTACTATCCCACCATCATGACCAATATTTTTAATGATGGATTTCTAATTAATGCTTCTTTTATATACACATTACTATATTACCAGTTACATTTAAATTATTTGCAATATTTTTGATTCACTTCTTAGACTTGTAATATAATAGATTAATTAAAATAACACGAAAATTTATATCAGCTTCAATTTTTTTTTATTAAAAATATTTGTTTTATTAACCGTGTACTGATAAGTGATTATTATTCTTAATAATATAATTCTCAACTATTTCTTGGTCGTGTTACGTTACATTAAATAGTGATATTATCTATTATTGGCTCGGCTCTTTCATTAATCGTAATATATAATTAAATATACAAGTCGACAACATCTCTTAAATGTTAGACACTTCTACTCAAAATTTGAAAAATTGGTTGAAATATTTATTATTTACTATTTGAAAAGGTTTATTTTGGATTCAAAAAAAGCTTTCGTTTTCATAAATTCGAATTTAAAAAATTACAGTTTCAAGTTCTTGACAAATTATATTTTCAAAAATTCTTGATCATAAAATTTTTTATAGGTTAATAATAATGATTGCTGGAAGTTCTGAATTGCAATCTTTTTTTCACTTAGCTTGGTCCGGGACTAACAAATATTTGCGCAAGACTTTGCTACTTTTAACGTCCATGAACTTTAATGCTATAAAATCATGTAAATTCTTTACTAAATGCGGTGGTAACCTTGCTCAAAGTCTAGAGAGTTATTAACTGTACAAATATTTACACATGCAGAATTTTTTAATATTGTTGATTGAACGCATGCATGTTGTATCTATTATATATTATAAATTTAATAAATTTAATTTGTTTTGTGTTTGACACTACTAATCGAAAATGGGACACATTTGGTAGGTCCAATCCAAATTACATAGTCATGTTGTAATTCAAAGAGAATGTTTTGATTGCAACTCTACTGGTCTGCGGTGACTAATGAATATACTGAAGCCTTGAACAAAGTATAAACCAATCCTACTTTTTTCTCAAGTGCACGAAGCCTGTCGATAAGGACAAGGACGTCGGTGGTATTCAAACGAGTGATAGTTTGATTTAACTATTTATTATTAAATATTTTAAAAGTCTTGAATATAAATAAGGTAAATATATAAACAGAATCTTGCTTACTCTGTCAATGTTAGAAACGAGTCTTTCATATTCCAAAAGGACGTCATTTTCAAGGGAGCTACTCATATAAGTTTCGGTCGTTTGTTGTAATGCCATGAAACCTACGTACGTACGCGAAAAAAGTGCGTACTACAATAATTTCTTTAATCCGCGTACCACTTAATTTCACTTGCAGATCATAATATTAGGTGTAACATTGGATTTTAATGTTGTGCTTAAGGTTAGGTTACTTTTTTGATGCAGTTGTTTGTTACCTTTTTTATGTATGATATCAAGGAAAGCTTATCGGAACATGTAATTTTCGGTGCTACTCACAATCGCTTCAAGTAAGATACCAACCATAGGAACGCTTTCGTATAAAGTACTTCTTAAAAATAAAACTAGACAATAAAAAAGATTTCAACAGCGAGTGGGCTCAGGATTTAGCAGTGTAAATTCGTGATTTCAGTAAGGATGCAAATGTTTTAAAACGCGATCTTAAAAATCGTAATTGTTTGATTTTCAATTGTTTAAAAATGGTTTAATAATGCAAAATTATTTTATAATTTTCTACGCTCCAAAACTGATAAAGCTCTTCGTTACCTTTATTAAATAATATGATTTTATTTAATAAACTTTGCAAAAAAGATCAAAAGCTGAATTCAATATTCTAATTAAAGTTACAATACACAGTATAATATGTTATACAAATTAAAAATCATGCTACCATTTCTATTGCAAATAGGTTATAAACAATTAATTATTAACTAACAATATGCATTTGTCCCTGCACACATTATTCACTAAAGAATGGATAATTATTAAAAAAAATTTTTTTAATATCATTTAATCATACATTCAATTTAAAAAGTGTCTTACCATCTGCTCAGATAATAGCACTATCTAAAAAGTATGTGTTATTAGGTTCATAATAGGGTAGCGGCACGGATAAAAAAATCAGGCATGCCACCTATCAGATTTCGTGCTAAGATGCACCCTGGCATGCCAAGAGCACGCACGCATACAGTATTGCCGGATAACAGATATATACGTACGTACGTATAAGCGGGCATGCCTTATAACTTTAGGCATGCCCATGACTGCCGTGCCACTCATGAGCAATTTAGCGTTAATATTAAAATTTCCAATAGGGCATTGACCATGAGCATTAGGCAAAAGCGATAACCAGTAAAGTATGCCATCAATAAGAGGATAATAATGAGTACACAGCACCCTGAACTACAGAACTACAGGAACAGTCGTTGTACCAATGCCGATGACTTCAAAGGAAGAGCTTCCATTCTGATTGACAATAATCGGATCTGATACAGTATATAAACTTGTAAATGTCCGAGGATGTGTTGTCGATCCTGGGCATTGCGTTAAGCTAGTGTAATTTTGGAAATGTGCACTTGGTGAAGATATAGATAAAGTAATATAATTTCCTAGACACATTTAAAAAACTAGAACTATCAGTCTTGGCATTTGGACTATCGATATATTTTCTTGGACACATTTAAAAAACTAGAATTATCAGTCTTGGCATTTGGACTATCGTTACGTCCAATCATGGACTAATCCAATGTCCATATCTTGCCGAAAAAGTTTCAGAATATTTCGGAATCTTGGCCTCGATCTTGCTCACGTTTTCACGTTTAATTTAGACTAAGTGCCTTATATTAGAGGTCGGAACCGGTTTGAAATTAAAAAACCGAATTGAGCTGGCTTTAAACCGAATCTAAATCGGATTTTGTGAAACATAGATTTTACATAATAAACCCGAATTTAAACCCGGTTTATCAGAGGCTTACAACCAAATTAGAGAGTGTTTACTATAAAACCGATTTACTATTAAAACCGGTTGCTATTAAATCGAGTTACTATTAAAACCGGGTTAACCCGAATTTATACCCGAATTATACTAACCGGTTCCGACCTCTACCTTATATCTAATAAATACTGTATATATATATATAGGTATATACCAGATATATAATATAGAGATTAAGCACAGGTTTTTTCGATTTTTAACGGCTGCCCTACCTTGTTTAGAGCGTCGAGTATAACCCGTGTTTGCATAAGGAGAGCATCTTCCTGCGTTGCAAATACAAAGTAAAATTTCCAATTATATAATATTATTGGAAATTTTACTTTGTATTCTCAACGCAGGAAGATGCTCTCCTTATGCAAACACGGGTTATACTCGACGCTCTAAACAAGGTAGGGCAGCTATTAAAAACTTGTGCTTGCCGGTATGAGTAAAAACCAGGAAATAAAAATTTGGCCTCTAAAAAATTATAGGGCCGGGTGTTAGGTTAACAGGAGCTATGGTAAAATTATCAGCTGGGCATTTTTTACTTAATGAACGACTTGTAAAAGTTTGGCAAAATCGGCCCATCTGACCAGGGTTCTGATGTATTCCGACTCGAAATTTTGGGGATCTCCCTGTATGAGTTCTTACGCACTCGTATGTAATATTTTTTACAGGGCAATTCCTGGTCGGAATGTATTAACGTTAAGGTTAGGGCTAGCTGTGCTAGTTAGCAGGAGCTATAGTAAAATCATCAGCTGGGCACTTTTTACCTAATGAACGAATATGATTTCATTAATGAAGTTTTTGGTGATCTTGGGCAAAATCGGTCAATTCCGGCCCATCCGATTGGGGATTGTTCTGTATGAGTTTATACCGGGTGAGTAAAAAGTCCCTGAACAGGACCTTTTTTTTTTTAATTTTCCAGCCTAACAAAAGCGGCCGGAATGCTGGTGGCATCTTTTTATTGTAATATATTAATAAATAATTTTCTATTTACATATTAGATATTTACATATTTTTCTATTTGTTCAGCTAATAGAGGAATTAAGGTTTAAAGCCTTGATTTCTCTGGAGACCCTATTACTAATGATTGCCGGGATGGAAATTTCTAATCTAAAATTGTTCCCCCATTTGGCATTGGTATACCAACATCAAATTTCATATACTGTCATTATATTCAGCCACTAGACTGTTGTATGGAACCTTTTTTGAGAAATATTTTTTTTGTATATATGTCCTCTATAGAATTCAGTATTGTAGAGTTGTCTTGTGTTTTCAAAAACTTGTAAACTTCTGTCCAGATTGACTTACTTATTCTGCATTTTATAGCAAAATGTTTTGGGGTCTGAATACTATTCTCACACCAAGAGCAGGCTTCTGACTCTGATTGAGATATTCGTTGAAGCCTGTATCCCAGTGGTAAGGCCCTATGGGCAAGTCTCCATGTAATATCCCTCTTTTTATTATCGATACCTTTACAGGTAATCCAATCTATTGGAGTATATTTTTTGAGTATAAAGGTTGGAGAGACTGTGCCGGACAAATTCCTCAAAAGGTTCATTAGGTTTTTAGTCTAGAGATCACTACTTCTTTTCCCTTTCATATATATATTCTCCCTGGACCAAGGCCATGGTGAAAGGGAGGATACTGAACCCTCTGCTTTATTCTAGGCTAGTACAAAAGGTTTTCATTCCGAAGGCCAAGCTTTGAATCTTACTAGATTTTCAGTGAAGACTTGTAATACTGTGGTATTTCTTTTATCACTTAAGGATTGTGTGATCCTTGATCTTTCTATCTTTGCCTATAAAGTGTCCTCTGTTATTAGCTTTAGCCATGTTGTGATCATCCTGGCTTCTAGCATATTCCCAACTATTGGGGCTTGAAGGCCACCTTTTTCGTAAAAGAGCTGATAAGTTGCATATCTTGGGAGCATTTCTTGATCCAAAGAGTCATCAGGTTATTTATCTTTGATATTTGTTTTTTTCTTGAAAGGAGAATATAGGCTATATACCAAATGCAGGAAAGTATTAGAAACTTTGCAATTAAAATTCTACTCTTGAAGGAGAGATTTTTTGCTGCTAGTTTGGAAAGCATATCCTTAAGTTTGGTAATTGTAGAGGGCTATAAGTCTTTCTTTAGTTGTTCATTTGTATAAATTTTGTATCCTAGTAGCTTGAAGGTATCCATTTCTTTTATGATCTTGAAATCAATTATGTCTGGAAGATTAGCTCTTCTTGCTATTATTGTAAGTAGTACAATTTTTGTCTTTTGGTTATTAATTTTTGTACTTGAGGCCTTTTTATATAAGTTAAACAACCTTTGTGTTTCAAGCCAATCTGATAAACTTTCTATTCCTATTGTTAAATTATCTGCATAGGCTATAGATTTGAATATCTAATTGTGTGAGAATATGTCTTGTATATTTTTGTCAATTGCTTGAAGCAGGGGTTCGAAGGCCAGAATATAAAGTAACGACAAGAGAGAGTTTCTCTGTCTTACTCCTCTTCCTACTTTGAAAGGCTTTAATAAGAAGCCTGATTCAAATATATGAGCCTCTTGGTTAGCAAAGAGATTCTCAACCAAATTTCTGAATTTTAGATTAAAATTCATTTTCTCAAGGACTAATTGTAGAAAGGTATGATCAATACAGTTAAAAGCTTTTTGTTGATTTACTAATAAAAGCCAATGTTGCTTAGTGAGGTCAGTCTGATTTCTCATTATTGTGTATCTGTTATTGACCTTTTCGAAACGAAACCCTGTTGATGAGCCGAAATTACCAAATTGTAAATTTTATTTAATCTAGTGACTATAATTTTCATGAAGATCTTGGCATTACAGTTTACCAGAAAGATCAGTTTCTAGTTGTCAATGTCCTTTAGATCTGTTGATTTTTTTGATATGAGAATAATTAAGTTTTTATGTTATGATTTGGGCAAGAAGTCTGAATTAAGAACATAGTTAAAGACTATTTTCAAAATAGAGACAATGTTATCTTCAGTTTGTTTATAGAACTCATATGTAAGGCTATCCAGCCTAGAAGATTTGTTACTTGAAAGTTTCCTAATCATTTCAACTATTTCTTCTTGCATAATTTCTTGTAAAAGTTCTGTGTTTTCTAAAGATAGAATAGTAGGAAAATCATTTGTCAGAGTTGTTACTGTATCCAAATCGATACTTTCCTCCTTGTAGAGCTTTGCATATTGTTCTTTAATATATAATCGTTGCCAAACTTAGATGGAACTTCATGGTCTCTGATATCTTTGAGTGCTAAGCAATTAGTTCTGAACTTATATCTTGAGAAGAAATATCTTGTCAACTAACAGAACCTTTTTTAATATCTCTGCTTATAATAAATTTTTTTGTGACGATGTATATTTGCAATATACTAGCATAATAAAGCAATTATTAAATAATAACCAAAGTGTGATTTAAAAAAAAGGTCCTGTTCAGGAACTTTTTACCCACCTGATATGTAATAGCTAGTCAGTATTAAAGTGTAGGACAGGCCGGGTTCGAGCTCATATTTTTGAGCCTATTGTTATCTTGCTGATCTGGCTATTTTTTACAGGATCACTAAATTTTCAGGTCATAATAGCCAGAATGCATCGGGTTAGGGTCGGAGTTAGCGTTAGTGTTAGCGTTAGCAGAAGCTATAGTAAAATTATTAGCTAGACATTTTTGCTTAATGAATGACTATTGTTTCAATAGTAAATTCTTAGTGATCTTGAGCAAAATTAATCAACTCAAGCCCATCTGACCAGGTTTCTAATACATTTTGACCCAGAATTTTGGGGACCTTCTTGTATGAGTTGATCTGGCCCCTGTTAAAATAGATTACGAAATTGAATCTAGGTGCTACACAAAAAATGTGCAGCAGATCCTTGATTTTAATTGGCTAAAAAAAATCAAGCCAGAATTACTTATAATTTTACTAATGAAATTGCAGCTGCCTATTAAATAAAAATTGTTTTTGGGTCAATTTTATTATATTATGTGCTTATTTTTTAAAAATTTCTATTTTTGTAATGAAAAAATTAAAAAGTTAATTCTAGCCAGAATTTAGTAAACAATTTTGTAATGCGGACCAAAATTTCAAAGATCTTCAGCTATTAGCCAATCAAAATCGAGAATTTGCTACACATTTTTTGTGCGGCACCTAGAGTAAATGATTACAGGACTACTATGCCTGATGTATTAGATATAATAGATATATTACATATATTAGTTAAAGTATATATGTATATACATACAAGAGATGAATGTAATAAAAATAGCATAGGTAATAGATTGATCATTTATTGCACAAGTGCTATATGTTCTTATTAGTACAGTTAAACTTCTCTCTAAATACATAGTGTTGGGACTATAGTAAAAATTTTTAAAATTATGTATTTAGAGAAATTTTTTTTTTTTTTTTTTTTTAAATTTGGCAATCATGCCTTAGCTTTATTAGGCTTTGTACAATTCCTCTAGAATATGTAAAATTTTATAACTAGGCATTTTAGAAGGTAAGTAATAAACTCTAAACTTGTTGGCAGATAGCGTATGAGAACTATCTCTAAACAACAAGTGCTATAGCCCGCATTGTTATCTAAATTACAAGTTAAGACTAACCCAGTTACCAACTTGGCACCTATGTTCG